TGCGAGGATTTCAAGAATTCACTGTGGAGGAGCTCTTCAGACACACACAGCACACAAACACTCAAAACACTCACAGGGTTAGGAACTGACAGCTAAGGTATTTGGGAGAATCTCTGCTGCACCAAAAAATATAAAAACTGTAGCAAGAGGAAAGATGGGAGGTTGCCATGGCGACATGGCACGACTGGTGCACAGTCATAAAACAGAGAGAGAAGTCACGCAGGCAAACAGATGGACAAAAAAAGACATTCCATAAACCTTTAGAATTAAACTTTTGAGGAATGTGACTGTGACTTTCATTTTCTTTTCTTTTTTTACTTTAAATACAGAGCAAAAAAAACCAGAAGGAGTGAGTAAAAAGGAAGGATAAAGACAATGAACAATATTAAATGTCAGGAAAATGTGTGGGAAGGTATGAGCTGGCAGGAGCAAAACAATGAAAATGATTTCACTGAGAAGTGCTGCCATGTTTGAAAATAAAAATAAAAAATCATGTATGCGCTTATATTTTTTATAAAAAAAAACTGTCTTGAATAAGTGAAAAAGTTGGTATTTAAACAATGTTTAGATAACTAATTTTGACAAGAATTTTGCTTAAAATAAAAGATAAAAATTAAAGTTAAGAGACAAAATTTCTCTTTCTGTTTGAACATACCCTTATTTTATTTATATTTATTAAAGATGCTCAAGAATGTTCTTTGCCTTTATATATAAAAAAATCATTCTTGTTAATAAACATTAAACAAACCAAAAACTCACACAGAAGCACTCCCAATACAAACTTTTTGAAATACCATGTAATCAATATGAGATAAATGTTTAAACAAATAAATTTTAACATAAAAGGAATAACTGTTCACAAGCTTAACGATGAGTTCAAATGGATCAATAAGATATTTATACATAATTAATATTAAAAACTTTATTTCATATCAGAAAATTTATTATGCTATTTTTTGATCAAGTTTTTATTTTTAATAATGGTTTAGATTTTTAAATATCAGATTATTTGTGTGGATAAACAAAAAAGTAGCAGCAATGGTGATTAGCTTATCTGTTAAATAACTGTTTTCAGACATTATTCCACCATATTGTTATATACTGAGTGTTTTTCCTTTTAGTTTATTAGTATTTTTTGTATAATATTTGTTTATTTATCTCATACTGACTAACATGACACTCCAGACACTCCTGCCTTCCCTCAGATGGGAACTTTACCTGCAATTGAATCAAAGTGTCTCTCAAAGGTGGGCAGTTTGTCTACAAAAGCATCCTCATCTGACAAGCAAAAGATCAAATAAAGAGACAAAATGGCAAAACAGATAAAACAAAACTGAACAAAATAATGAGTCCTGTCCTGATAAAATTATAAAAAGAGAGAAAAACTTGATGAAAAAATGATCAACATGGAAAACATTGGAACTGGAAAAGACATTAAAAGCAAAATCTTTGACTTTTTTTTGATACAGTCAAACCAAATATTGATTATTAATAATTTATGAATGTCCAACTCTGCAGAGGTTCCTCGCTACTTCACAGTTCAACTTTCGTGAACTCGCTCTATCGCTGTTTTTCAAAGTGAGCTTGAACGTGTGAAAAATAAAAATTGTACACGACACATGATTGTCAACTTTAATATTACTCGTGATTGGGACAGTACTGGATACTGTACAGTAAAAAGTTAACGAAAAAATAAAATACTTCAGACAGGTGCCGCCATTTTGTAGTTTTCTCTCAATAAGTCTACACTGCATCCCCACTCATGACTACATTTCCCAGAAGCCAACAATGCCCTGCCCATAAGCCCCGTTTCATTGTGCTAAAAATACTAGAGGGAATGTTTTGATTAGATCGGAAAACATTTGGTGCTTATTACAGTGACTTCGGCACCCAGTGGATGCAGAGAGAAACCACGGAACCAGAGCAGAACCAGAGCAGAACCAGACCTCCAGAACCATCTGTGAATCTCGAGAGCTGGTAGCCAGCCCACGAGGACCCCCGAGCAGGACGCACTCCGCCGAAGGTCCAGCGCCCCATCCCGAGCTCATGAGACCCCCTTCATATCTCGGCCCACCCAATTGGATCACCAGTCCTGCACCGGCCACCCGAAGGTCCGCCCTCCCAATCCCACAAATGCGCCTCAATGCTCAAGGGCTGAACAAAACCAGAGCAGAACCAAACCTCCAGACCCATCAGTGAATCTTAAGAGCTGGTGGCCGGCCCACAAGGACCTCCAAGCAGGACGCGCGCCACCGAAGGTCCGGCGCTCCATCTGGAGCCCACTGGGAATTGGTTCATCTCTTTCAACCGGCCGACAAAAACCTCAGAGCAGGAACGCGCTGGTAAGTAAAATTTAGAAGCTGTATATAAGGATGTTGTTAAAATTAGTAGGTTTAGGAGTTTAGAACATTGATTGTGGGCTTCGCTGTTGCAGGGTAGGTCTGCAGAAACTGAACAGAATCGGACTGGAACCAAGTTGGACAGGAACCGAGCCGCTGCTCTTCTGCCTAGCTGGTGAGTAAAATTTAGTAGCTACATACACAATACTGTGCGTACTTGTTAAAATGACATAGGTTTAACGTCGCTACTTTGTGGATTTTCACTTATTGCAGGGTGGTCTGGAACCTAACGCTCCCGCAATAAACGAGGGACTACGGTACATTCTGGTTAATCGCACCTGTGGCTGCCTCCGATGTGAAATATATTCTTTTACAAACTATGACTCAGATGTGCCACAGACTAACAGGCTGTCTATTCACAACTCTAGGCTCCTTTAACAGACTCTAAAGTTAGACCAAGAAGCTGCTGCACCAACTCATTAAAGCATGTGTGCACTTTAAAATCAACACCCTGCTTCATGTTCTCACCTCCCACTCCGAGTGTGTGACAGCATCTGAGTGTCAACCCAAACCAGACTCATTAACTCATTCTCATAATGAAAATTTCATTATTTAGTAAATAAATAAATTTTTAAATATCCATTCATTCATTTGGTTGACATAAAAGTAGACAAAAAGCTAGTAAATAAATAAATATATATATATATAAAAAGGTGTATAATAAAATGACCAGTTCACAAATAAATAAATAAATTATGGTGTTGCACAATAACAGGAAGGCTTTTGTATTTCTCTGCCTTCGTGTGCAGAGTCATTCACAGCTCAGAGATGCTTCACACACCTGACACCGACACGCACAGCTCCTTGCCGAAAGTGGGGGTGGTGGCGGCGCTCAGAGAGTTGGTCGAAGAGATCGAGGAGGTGCTCTCGGCCCGTGCCAGTGGAGCACTGGGGGGAGGGCTTGTCGAGTGGATCGGCGGGCTGAATGGTCGATTCTGTAAATAAGCCCAAGACAGCGATGAGGGAAAGAAGAAGTAAAACCAAAAAAAAAAAATCTAACAGAACTGGAAAATTATCATACCGCATCTCCAACAGCGGGTTTCCCCGGGGGGAGTTTGGGTCGTGAAGGAGGGCGAGGTGGCGGTGGAGGCGGGGTTGGGTTTACTGACGAAGGGGTGGCAGGTCTGACAGGTGAGGAGGAACCTGCAAGTTAAGGCTCAGTTAAGATGAATAAATTAAAAACAACTCTGAATATGTTTTACAAAATTCCTTTGTCCAGGTAGACTGAGGAGCCACGTACCGCTGCTTGTGCCTGATGTGGGACCTGGGGATGAAACCACTACACGGTACGTCGGGGGAGGAGGTGGGGGAGGCGTACACCGACTTCCCTGGCTGGCACCTTTGGGTGAAGTGATGGTTTCACCTCCATCCTCTTTGGAAAATGAGGCGTTTGCGTTCTTGGACTGGTCCTCCTGAGAGAGGACAAGGGGTGGTGGGGCTGAAGGTGCTGCAGGCTGTTCAGAGGGAGGGGTCACCACCTCAGAGGCATCGTCTTTAGGGGTGGGGATAGGTGGGACAGCAGGAGGTGAGGTAAGGTGAGGAGGAGAGGAATCCAGAGGTGATGTAGACGGCGGGGAGGTGGTGGGAGGAGTTTGGTCTTCAGGCGTTGGAGGACCTGAATGAACAGGAGGAGCAGCAGGCTTCTCTGCAGGAGGTGGGGATGTTGGAAGAGGGGGAGAAGCATCTCCTTTTGGAGGTGGGGATTCAGGGAGAGGTGGAGCGGGCTCTTCTAGAGGAGGTGGTGATAGAGGTAGAGGAGGAGCAGGAGATTTAGGTGGAGGCGGGGAGTCCGGTGGCGGAGGCGCTGGTTCTTCTGGTGGAGGCGGTGACGAGGGCAGTGGGGGCACGGGGTCCTGTGGTAGAGGTGGCCCCACAGGAGAGTGTTCACTGAAGCACACCCACTTGTCACTCGTTTCCTCGCCAGCAGGGGGAGACTGCTCAGGTCCAAAAATGTTGTCCAAGTCCGCTATGGAGGGTTTTCTGGTTGATCCTTCTGCTTCGGCTTCTGCAGCAGAGAAAAGCAATGATCAGCCAAAGTCTGTGTTTACATAAGGAGATAAAACTTCACCAACAGGCACACAAATTCAATCAGAAGTAGAAAGAGATGAAGTAAATATGCAGGTGAGACGACATACAGAAGCTTTATTATTTATCCAACAAAGTTCTGTCAGGTCATCTGGACGGATTTTGTTGAGACGTTTCTGTTTGTGAGGCCGACACATTGTCCAGTTTTAAGACTGGGCTCAAGACTTTCCTTTTTGATAAATCCTATACGGTAATTAGGGTTGGTTTGTTTGCTGCTATGGAGGACAAATTAACCTCATTTCTTTAAATGATTTGCTAAAATTAAATAGTTTTCATTTGATACTAATTCTATTTTAACATGTGATTCTTGACCTGCCATTGTGTATCTGTTCCTACCAAACCTAGCCGGTCGGAGCAGATGGCACTTGTCCTGAGCCTGGTTCTGTTAAAAGTTTCTTCCTCATGAGGAAGTTTTTCCCTTTCCACTGTCGCCTTCATGCTTGCTCAAGATGAGAGTTTGCGATGGAGATAAACTCAAAGCAGTCTGCTCCTCAGATAAATAATGTTAAATTATTGTTTTTATATATGAATGTTTCTGTCCAGTGCCCTGAGATGACTTCTGTTGTGACTTGGCGCTTTATATTTTTTATTTACCCTTTATTTATACAGGTAGTCTCATTGAGTCACGAGAACTCAAGAGAGACCTGTTTTTGGGAGCAAATGATGGGGGTTAAGGGCTTTGCTCAGTGGCCCAGATTCGGGGCAAATGAGGGTGGAGGCAGGTGTGGGTGTTTCACCTTTTCCACCCACTTTCTTATGTTGATGGTACCAGGAGTTGAACCTGCGACTTTACGATCCCAGTCCCATCTTCTCTAACCTCTGCGCCACCACTCCCCTATAAACAAACTGAATTTAATTAAATGCTTCGTCCTTCATCCAAAGGACTTCATCAGCAAACAGGTTGGTCCACTATGCGAATGTGCTGCTTGTGGGACTTTGGGAGTTTGTTGTGGCTCCTTGGACTGATAAAGTCCTTTGGATGAAGGAAGAAACATCTCATCTTATAAGAAACCATCCAGATGACCTGACTGAACTTTGTTGCGTTGTCCACCTGGATTATTGAGCATGAACTTTGATCTTTATCATTTATGTTGTGGAAATAGGAGGTAGAAAGAGACAGGATGATTTCTCACCAGAATTATCTGTGGAGGGGGATTCTGCCTTTGGAGGAGAAGCTGGAACATTCTTGGGTGGAAGTGGAGGAGGAGCTGTAAAAAAAAAAAAAAAAAAAACATTGTAAACACAACATTGATTAGTCCTGAGTATAATAGATATTTTCAGCTCAAAATAGCCTACGTACATTACTGAGATTTGATTAGAATAACAAAGAATGTTAATGTCAAATGATTGGATTTTTAAATGGCAATTATCATCATGACCTGCCACAAAACTGTCAGAAGTCAAAACAATACACCATGCAGCACAAAACCGTCTCATTTACCACCATGCCAAATGCAAGGAGAAGGCAAGAACAGGGGAAGGGAAGTGCAAAATGAGAAGTGAACACGTTCTGTGTAATACAATATAACGAGTGCTCAATGCTGCACTTGTGAAATGGCGGATGAAATGAAACAACTGTCTGTTCAAAGGGACATGGAGAGGATTATGGCCACACAGTTGTTTAATCTGAACAGTTTGCAGGTCTGTTTGTCGTGTGATGAGGGAGATCACAAGGTGGGCTGGTGGGTCTGTGCAGTCATTCCAGGGAGGCGAGGAGCTGTGGCACAGTGTGCACGGGAAAACAACACTTACTTCCTGTGGGGAAGGACCTCGTCAAAGAGGATTCAGGCTCTGACAGAGAAGTGCCCCAGACATCGGACTCAGAAAGAACCACTAAGTTCAGGAGGGGACAGAGAAGGTCATGTGAAGGGCATTAGCAGCAAAATGCTCATGGGTTTCTGATACTCTGGGGTGTGTAAAACAAAATATATCAGGAAACAGCAACATATAATCATCTGTAAATAAAATAAGTGAGTTTGCGACTAATTCCATCCAAGATATATTAAATCGCTTGAACAAATAAGTCATTTTGTTAGCCTGATTGCAGTCCAGTGCCAACAAAATATTTAAAATTTAACAGCGCATTACAGTAGGTCAGCAAAAAATATTAACCTAAACGGACAAGAACACTTGGTAATTAGCTCCAAGCAAAGCAACAATTCCATATTTGTCAAACATTACAGTAAAGTAATGAATGCATCTTGCTACATTTTTGCAGATCATCATTGTTAGAGTTTCTAATCCAAGAAACATTTTGGGGAAAAAAGCAGAGAACATTTTAATATTTATAAAAATAGATTAAATTGTAGCTGTGTTAAATTAAACTGCACAATCAAACTTCTTGACTGAAGCAACAGAACAGAAAAGCATACATTTTATTAAACACGATCATCTTCACAACTGTACACCTAAGAGTTGTTGCACTTAATGTGCAATGAGATTTTACACCAAATGATGTTTGTTACGCCTGAAAAGGCACTTATGTAAGAGTTAAAAGCTCTTCGACAGCCTGCATCACAAACTCCACCAGGGCTCAAAGTGAGCAGGTAACTGCTGAATTTACATATTACAAACAGCATTATGCAAATGAACAAAACCTCAGGGGTGACTAGCTCAACCTTGACCTTAGAGAAACACAGACAGACTCAATTTACAGCTGAACAGTACACCTGAAGGAAGAGGAATTGTGAAAGTAGCCAATGAGAAGGGATAAATATAAAAAGGGTACATGTTTTGAAAGCCAAGTAAGGCTTAGCTGTCAGCCAAAGAGACAGTAAGAGAAAGCCAATTTCAATGCACCACTAAGATCAGTCAACACACACACATAGTGTGAAAAAATAAATACACAGACGCTGAGATAATAAACAAAAGACGAAGACAGAAGATCAGCTACCTTCAGTTTTCTTTTCTCCGAAAGCAGATTCTAGAGGAGGCCCAAATAAGGCTGTGGTGTCTTCAAGGACTGCTGTTTGTTGATTGCTGCAATAGCAGATGGACAATGGAGAGGGAGAAAACAGAGAGGAAAGGTTTTATTTGAAACCTGTCTAGTCCTCCCTATGAAGTAACTCTGGCTGGTCAGCCGGTTGCGCTAAAACTGCACAGCAAAAGACCGATGGTTAGCGATGCAGCAAACTAGCTACAATGTTTCAAAGTGATGTATTTAAGTGAAGAAATGTAAGCCAGTACAATAAACACAGTATAGTATAGTATAGTATAACCTTTTCAATAGTAAAGTCTATATGGGTACCGTGTTTTCCAGCGTATAAGTTGCAGTTTTTTTGCATTATTTGTCAGTTCTGTGACTTATACGTCGAAGCGAATTGTATACGTTTTTTTTTTCCCGAATTCATAAAAATTTTTTTGACTGACGCATTACATTTCTAAGAACTGCAATAGTGAGTCCTTCCGTGCTTGCTCGCTTCACTCGGTGCAGGCAGAGGAACGCTGAAGAGCTAGCGGCTCCGGCCGCGATGGATGGATGGATGGATGGATGGATGGATGGATGGTGCCGCCCAGGCGAAAATAAACTGTTTTGACCAAATGTAAACCATAATAAATGCGACTTATACGCCGAAGCGACTTATATATGTTTTTTCCTCTTCATGATGCTTTTTTTGACTGATGTGACTTTTACACCACAGCGTCTTATACGCTGTAAAATATGGTATATACACACTGTAGACCCATATATGGGGCTGTATGGGGAAGACACTGCTGTATTTTCTTTTGCCATTTGTTTAAAAACAACTGTGGAGTCATGGGACATTTAATTAATTTTGAATAGTATTGTATGGGGATATTGTGAATAATCCTCAGCTGCAGGAAGGCAATCACAAAGTCTGACTCATTTGAGTCTGCATGACCGTTAAGCTACTAAATGTACTCGACAAAGTGACAAATCCAATAAAAAACACACACAAAACAGTTGAACAGCAATACACTGACATTCATTTGTGTAGCATGACTCATATTAAGAGCAGCAACTACAAAAGCAGCTTAAACGCTGTTTTTAAGTTTTCATATAAAAGTCAACTGTGATAAAGTGCTAAAGACACAATGATGTGTTAACTGAGAGGTTTGGAACCTGACGGCAGCAGACTGAGGCACAAAAAAAAAAAAACAAATCGCAAAACTACATAAAGATAATTGGATACTGAGCATCAAGTCTTAGTTCATCTATCCAGGAGGAACATTTCACAATTTTATGCAATGAAAACAAAAACATCTCTAATTTACCTGACATCGACATCCTTTAAACTTTATCACTGACCTCAGACACTCATAAACTTAAACTATCACATAGTTACTCTGTAATTAATATATTTTATCACTATATTTTGAGACATTTTGATGAGTCCCCACAGAAAGTCTTTGTAATACCATATTTTCTGACTATATGGCGCACTTAAAATACTTTAAATTTTCTCAAAAATCAACAGTGAGCCTTATAATCCGGTGCGCCTTATGTATGAAAACAGACCGGTTCATTGATATTGCACCTTATAGTCTGAAAAATATGGTACTTCAAGTCAAATCCAGGTGAGAAGTGAGGTCCATACCTGGTTGGTTGTAGAGCTGGAACTGGTGCGGCGGCCACTTTAGGCACAGTAGGAACAGAACGCCTCGGTCTGGCAATTTCTTCCCCTGTTTGAACAAAAATGTATTCAACTCACATAAAAGTATGACTTTCTCCTGATTCACATTTTTTAAAAGTGAGCCTGGGCAGAAATGCCATGAGGCTCATACTTACTAGATGTGTTCCTGTTCAAACCCTGTTACATGGGGGACAAGAGAATAAAATGTTACATTTCAAAGGAGGAAACACAAAAATAATACAGTTACATGCTGTATCACTGCTTATATACATGTACACAACATGCACATAAAAGTAAAAATGACTGAACATCATACAGTTTGGTACACAAATATATGAATTGAGAGTGATGATAACAAGCGAATAAATTATTACAACGCTTTAACTCTGTAAAGCATCTTAGCAGGTGTGTTGGACAGCAAAGGAAAACCGTCATTAGAAATGCAGTTTAATTTAAAAGTGATTTCAAGAAAACGGATTGCTCCAGAATTTACAATCAATAATCTTAACGGTCTGATAATATTCTGAAAATAGTGACTTAGCAGTGAAAGCAGTGGATTGTGGCATCAAAGCAAGAGATTTCGAAAAGGTTTATGCTTTTGAAGTTGCAGCTTCTCTTGGCATTGGGTAAAACAAGAGATCGATACAATCAGAGTGTGAAAAATCTGAGAGACGAGGGATTCGTCAATAAAAAAAAGGCAAACTAAACGTTACTGCCTCTCCAGCCATTATCCAAAACTCTCCAGTGCAAGCGTGATGTCACTTAGAGACAAACACAAAAAGCCAAGAAATGCAGGACAGAAAGGGGGTGGGAGATGTAGGAGCAGAAGAAGAGACATGATGGGGAGAGACTAAACTGACGTCAAAAAGCCCAGCTATCAAAAGTGCAAATTTTCACCCAGTAGGAAAAAAAAAAAATTGCAAGAAGCCAAGAAAAATGGAAAAACAGCACGAGCGCACCAAGGAGCTTATAAACCTGTTCTTTAATCTGTGCATTAAAATACTGATTAAACATGAACATAACTAGTAAAACAACAATAACAAACTGTTCTGACTCATTGTATGAGCCGTCATTTATTTACTCCAACCCCAGAAAGACAGAAGGAAGAGAGACTTACCGGGCTACGTCTCTGTGACCAGCAAAAAGGAAGAGAGAAGAGATACCTGATCAGAGAGTGACAAATCAGTAAGGAAGACAGCATCATATGCATCGTGGCCTGGATGCTTCAAACTGGTCATATGAATAGTTCTTTTAAGAAACTGAATGTATGCATTGTTTATTTTCCTCCAGTACAATGTAAATGTAGCTGAGGGTCACTTTTACATCCACGTCCTGATCATTTGTCTCTAAAAACTGCAATTTCTGTGACTTTCTTCTAATTTTCCCTGTTTATCTTCAGATGTGCCTTCTTGAAATCTCTTCATTTGCCTGCGTCACGTCCCCCCTCATGCCAAGCCTCGCTCTCTTTGCTCCAGTTGTGCAGTGAGCCATGCCATGAGCGTTTAAGGTGATGTAACAGTGGGTGGGACATGCAGGTGGAACGAGTCCATCTCACTGGACGGAGTGGGGAGTGACACGGCTCAGTAAACGAAGGCCGACAGCCAACTGCTGCCGTTCGTCTGCACGTAAACAGGAAGAGCGGCGCACGGTTTGATGACTCAGTATAATCTCTTAGCCTTTTCAGAGATTAACATCTGTGTTTGAATATGATACATTACAATAGAGAAATACTGAAAATATAAACGAAAATCTGCGAAAAATAATAATAACTTTGAATTTTACTGTAAACATTTTAGAATTCAAACTGATGCGGGGAATAAATGTGATGCCAGGAATTTTTTTAACTCATTTTTTTTTTTCCTCTTTACAGTATGACCCCTTTTCACCTCCTTTATAACTTATAATCTTGTTATTTGGACCAAGAACCAGAGAATAAAGACTCCAAACCTAATTAAATTCAGATTTAGCAAGTCTCAGCCAGCAGAAGCGCCTTTAAACACAGAGTCTTGTGCACTGTGGGCATTTTGCCTCATTTGTAGAACACAAAAACAGCAAATAATGATCAAGCAAGAATTACTAAAGAAACTCAAAAGAGAAAAGTTAATAAATAAATTAAAAAAAAAAAAAAAAAAGCAGAGGCTTACCGGACTCCTCTGCAGGGATTAGCATCATTTTAGGAAACATAAGCACAAAAGGTAAAAAAAAAAAAAAGTAATTTAAGGAGGATTTTTATAGCATTGGCAAAGCAAAGCATTTGTGCACCATGTGGAGAGTTATTTAGTGTAATGTAAAATGCACATAAAGTCAGAGTAGGAAAGTGTTTATTCTTTGCAATCACAGTATTTGGTTCTTTATTAAGGTTTTATTCACTTCTTTTTCTAACACGATGTGAATGGCTGAATTATGCATGAACATTTTTGTGTAAAAAAAAAACAACTGTCTTTACAGCCTTTGTACAAGTTTGTGTACAAAATACATATTTTATGTTATATAAAGTACATATGTAGTCTTGATATATTTGTCAAGCAACTTTAGAAAAATTCAACCTTGACACAATCAGATCTTTAGTGTTAAATAGGCACAGCCAATGAGAGCATTAAAGCCTGGATTGTGACACTGCATGAGTTGATATTAACTTGTCTATATTCTCTAATGTTAGCCATTTAGTTCTTATCTTTACCCATTTAGATCTATGTATTTTATCCTCTGTTCTTTGCTTGTTTCGTTTCAGCTGTGCAGCACTTTGGTTGGACGTGTTGCTGTTTAAAGTGCTTTATTAATAAAGTGGTATGGTATTAAAAGACATTCACACTTGTTAAGATTCAGTCTGTGGACAAATGCACCAAAGATGGATTAAATTATTGAGGCCCGAAGCTCAAATAACCACAAGTAATATCGTTGTGTAGCAGACTGAAACACAAGTTCATCATGCCCACTTTCCTACCTAAATAATTCAAGGAGGACACCTAAGCTAACTGTCCTCCACGGAAAACACAGGATGGGTTAAAGTTGCAAAAAAGGCCAAAGCACAAGATTCCCGCTGCTAATCCACAATGTCTGACAGGGATTTGTGTGCTTGTATTGGGACTTCCTCGGTGCGCCTCACACACAGTTGAACACCCTCCTTTTGTTAAATGATACCAAACTAAAAGAGCAGAGAGGTCATTGACAGAACTAACCAAGTGTCATAATCCTCATGAATATCAAGCCATCATTAATCTGCTGACCTTTCAAATCAGAGAGGCAAAGATCCAAACCAGGTTTGAAATCCAACGACACTACACACTACTGGATACTGGCTCCTAGAAACATTGTGGCTGAAACATACTGGCTGTTAAAGGGCAGCGTGGGGCAAATATAAAGTCAAGTGTAAAGTGCATCTGTATCAATAGGAAGAGCACATTCACATCTACAGTATCAATATTAAAATCTAACTAATTAAAGAGCAGATAAAGGATGAAGATGAGGAGCAGGTGTGAGCTGCACATGACGTAAACATTAATAATACGGCTGCCTGTTAATAAAGACACAGCAGGAAAAGGGACGTCAAGGCTACTCACCATAGGAGAAGGGAACAGAGCGATGTTGCCTATGGAGGCTTTAAGCACATCTACTGATGGTTCGGCTAGAACACAATCAGACGGAAGCGGCTTAATCTTGATTTTGAACCTCTTCCTGTGGTCCTCCTCCTCCTCAGACTCATCAGAGGAGAAGAAGTGGGACTTGGTGGTAGTCGGTGGGAGCACAACGTCAAGGAACAGAAAAGGTCTGTGATGGTGTGAACCAACATCAAAACTTACAAATGCTCATTTAAAATTTTAATTAAACTTGAGAAGGTCAGTCATTTCTGTGAAGGAACATCTGTTTTTCATCCCCATCAGCCTGAAATGGTTGCTCCTAACTAAAATATTACCTTCATGGGGTTCATGCATGTTTTCAATTTAGTATTTCAATTGCACTCTTGCATTAAAAACAAAAATCCACTTTCTGTGCAGCTTACATAGAACAACCATTTTAGTCTGAGGTAAAATAATTTACAAACTGATATAAAATCAATAATACATGAGAGCAAAACATCTAAATGGACAATCAGAAGAGTTGTGTAATGATTAGTGTAATTTTCTTTAAGTACTTTACGTAAATGTTAGTTTAGGTCAAGACTAATTCTTGGTAATGCAATTTAAGTCATTAGTAAAATGTTATGTATAAATAACTCCATCGTTTCTTTGTGGATTTAGAAAAAAACATGACAGGATGCTGAAGGAGGAGGTGTGGTGTTGCATGAGGAAATCTGGAGTTGCAGAGAAGTATGTTAGACTAGTACAGGACATGTATGAGGACAGCAGGACAGTGGTGAGATGTGCTGTAGGAGTGACAGATAGCATCAAGGTGGTGGTGGGAGTGCATCAAGGATCAGCTCTGGGCCCCTTCTTGTTTGCTCTGGTGATGGACCGACTAACAGATGAGGTCAGGCAAGAATCTCCATGGACTATGATGTTTGCAGATGACATTGTGATCTGTGCTGAAAACAGGGAACATGTGGAAGAGAACTTGGAGAGGTGGAGGCATGTGCTAAAGTCAGCCATAGTAAGACAGTGTACATGTGTGTGAATGAGAGGGAGGCTGGTGGAACAGTGAGGCTACAAGGAGCAGAAGGTACAGGACTTCAAGTACTGTCCAGGAAAATGTGGCGTGGTAAAGAGGTGAAAAAAAGAGTCCAGGCAGGATGGAGTAGATGGAGAAAAGTTTCAGGAGTGATTTGCGACAAAAAGGGTGTCAGCAAAGGTCAAAGGAAAAGTTTACAAGACTGTGGTGAGACCAGTTGTGTTGTCTGGTCTGGAGACAGTGGAATTGACCAAAAGACAGGAGAAAGAACTGGAAGTGGCAGAAATAAAGATGTTGAGGTTCTTCTTGGGAGTGACAAGGATGGAGAACATTAGGAATGAGATCATCAGAGGTACAGCATCCATCCATCCATCATTTTTACCAGCTTCTTCCTTTTTGGGGTTGACGGTGCCCATGTCCAGCCATCACTGTGCTAGAGGCGGGGGACACCTTGGACAGGTCGCAAGTCCATCACAGGGCCGCATAGAGACAAACGAGACAAACAACCATTCACTCTCTCACTCACACCTAGGGACAATTTAGTTACCAATCAGCCTAACATGCATGTTTTTGGTCTGTGGGAGGAAACCGGAGTACCTGGAGAAAACCCACGCATGTTGAACAACTGAGATAAAGTTACAGAGGCCAGGCTGAGATGGTTTGGACATGTCCAGAGGAGGGACAGTGGGTATATTGGTAGAAGGATGTTAGAAATGCAGCTGCCAGGAAAAAGACAAAGAGGAGATATATGGATGCAGTTAGAGAGGACATGGTTGGAGTGAGGACAGAGGACGCAGAGGACAGAGTGAGATGGTGGAGGATGACTCGCTGTGGAGACCCCTGAAGAGGGAAAAGCAGAAAGAAGTAAAATATTATGCAGGAGACTTTTTGAAAATGCATTTCAAATAGATGTTAATTAAAACGCTAAGAAAACAAAACAAACAGCATCAATTTTAAATGATTTGATGTTATGCTGAGGATATCTCCTGGCTCAGCCTCTTCATCAGGTCTGATGCTGTAGCCCTCGTCATCCACCTCAGGAGAGTTCTAAAACACAAAGTTTGTATTTGTATTATACTCATGTGAGATATGAAGGGAACCACAGTGACACTTATTTCCTCTAAAATGTGAGCTAAAATTAAAAAACCCACAACAGCAGTCATGACTTTTTTACTACCTTTTCTGAGGCTACATGAATAATCTCTGTATCAGCACACTGGTTTTAAAACACCACAAGTGAAAACGGAAGCTAAAAACAAAAAGCAGCAGCTTTGAGCGTTGGAGCAGAAGAAGAAGCTAAAACACACTGAAACTAGAATAAAATAATATTTACATATCTGTCCCAGTCGATGTCTTCATAGAAACCATTAGGAGCTCCATTTGTCCTCTTCTGAGACTGGAGGAAAAGAAAAAGTCTGTTTCATCAAAACCCCAGACACTGAAGGAGCAGTATCTTATGCAAGACTCCTCTCGGCTACTGAACACCACTGTCTCTCTTTTACAGACAACTCTTCATTAATCACTGATTTTGTTTATTTTAGTTATTATATATTTTTCGACACATATCTTGTCTTTGCTTCTTCATCCAAAACATCATGTACAATTATTTGGTTTTTGAACAGATATTTTGAATATTACTGGGTACAAATCCCAATATAAAAAGCTGCCTGAAAGAGTGCATGAGGGCGATTTAATACGACGCAAATATTTCCCCTTTATTCCCAGAAATTAATTTTCCAGAAGGATTTTTTCCGAGCCTTCTCAATCGTCTGAAACATTGTTAGAAGGCTGATGAGTTTGTTGATTATCGTTGTGATATTTATTACTCATCTAAAATCTACACACAACTCTACTCTAGCTGCTAGTCTATTCTGAACAGCTGAGTTCAATACCGATTCAACAACTTGAGGTTCCTGGCAGGCAACAAGAACAGAGAAAGTAAATAATTTATGTGTTGAGCAGATTCAGTTACCTACAGAAAGACTGTGCATGCACTGCAGACTGAGTCCACACGAACAGAATGGACTCATGATGTAAAGAAAAATAAATACTTACACCACCGTCTCTTTCAGGGGATCCTCTGCGTGAAATAAAAATAAAAAAAAAGGGAGAAAAGTGGAAAAAAGGTATTTATTTTAAAGTCAAGTGCTTTGCTAATTAGTCAAAAGAAATTAGTTTAAAGGACTTCACAATGAAATCACACCCTGATACTTATTGTGTGAATGTTTATGAAGCATTTAAACTATTCCGATTCATTTTTCTGCATCTTTCTCGTTTTTTTTTTGCTATTTCAACAAATCGTATCAAAGCATTCAGCTCGTTCAGGAGAACAGTGCTATGACTTTTGGTATTGCTGCAACTTTAGCTTTTTGAAATATTTAGCCTTTTCTGCCATATTTTTTTCTCATAGAAAATTAATTGAGCTCATTGTACATCCTTCATGTCTTTAGAACGGTTTACAACCTTTTACTGCTCCTTTCAGCTTTCTTGTCCAAATGTAAACATTTTCAGCTATTTTCAGCTGTTTTGTGCTCCTTTCAGCTTCTTTCTGCTACCTACAACATTTTTGTTCTTCTTCTAACTTCTTTCTGCTATTTTCAGCTTGTTATGCTCCTTTCAGCTCATTTCTGCAAGTTTCAACTTTTTATGCCATTTCAGCTACTGTTTAGCTGTTTGGGAATGCGAATTTGAACTTTTTCATATAATTCCAGATTTTTTACACTCATTTAAACTTTTCATTTCAGCCAAATTCAGCAAAAACTGCTCTTTTCACTACTTTCTGGTAATTTAAGCTTCTTTCTGCTGTTTTAGCTGCTATGTAATAGTTTTTATTTTTTTGGCTAATTTTGGCTTTTGTCAGACAGTTTCCACTTTTTTGTGCTTATTTCTGCTTCTTTCAGCCTAATTGAACAAACATGTTTTTTCTGCTTTCTTCTGCTAATTTAAGCTTGTTCTACATTGTCAGCTACCATTTTATCATTTTAACTGTTTTCAGATCAAGTTTTTCATGTAAATGTCTGCTACTTTCAGCATAATTAACTTTATACCAATTTCATCTTGTTATGTTCTTTTCACCATTTTCTGCTCTTTCAGCTACCATTTACGTAGCACTTTTGATGCAATTTTTTAGCATCTTCAGCCAATTCCACATTTTTTAGCTCATTCCAGTTCTTTTCACTTTCTTCTAGTAGCTTAAGCTTCTTTTTGCCATCTACTTTTCAGTTATCGATTGCTAATTTAATCTTTTTTTTTTAGCTAATTTCTTAATTTTTGTGCTATTTTCTGCTTATTTAAACCTAATTCAACAAATGTGTTCTTTCCGCTTTCTTCTGCTAGTTTAGGATAGCTCTTCATTTCAGCCTGTTTTTTTTTTTAGCTAATTTCAGCTCTTTCCAGGAAGTTCTTCTGCAATAAGCATTCACACTGCATTTTAGCAGGAAATGCCATTTATCTAGTTTACTTAGAAATTAACAACGTCTCAATGAACAAGAGTCTCATGCAGAGTATCAAAAAGGCTAAACATTACATTAATTTCTACAAAACACCATTAACATGCTGACATTTGTGACTAATCTTGCATCATCATGTTGTCAGGTTAGTCATGATGGAAGCATTTTAGCGTATCAACATGCTCCGATCATTGTACCGTACATCACAACGCAGGGAAAGCACTTACGCAGAGTCATTGTCTTTCTCTTTCTTCCGTAACCCGAGGGCCTTCCTGGTACGTTTTTTCAATCCTGAGAAGGCAGAAAAGAAAATGGGTCAGTGGTTGCAGGTCACAAACCAAAAAGCATGACTAAACCTCCCACAGAAAACACCTTTCAAAAGGTTACGTGGGGTCGGCTGTACAGCATCTCTCCCCAAAGTCAAAGTTTTCATGTATTATTGAGCGAGCGGCTGCATCAGTGTGAAAAGCAAACACTGTCAAGACTATAAATGCTTTCACGGTCGACACAAATGAAGAGACAGCCTTGTAAAAGTCAAGGAAACGTTTTTGGATGGAAAATTCATTAGTGCTGTGAAAAAAAAAAAAAATCGATGCGCAGCAGTTTAACCAGGACAGTCGCTGAGTGTAGATGGAGGAAGCTGCTGCAGGTCAGACAGAAAGTTCAACAGAGTTTGCTCCGTGCAGCATGATACTCTTAATGTACCGATTAACCAAATGATTTTTACGTATAATAATACAACAAACTTAGAAAGACTTGTTGAAGATCTACAAAAATCTCACACTTTAACAGAATTGAACACAGTAAGAAAAAAAATACAAATGAAGACTGTTCAGGTAACTCATTGCTACATTTTGCACATTGCTACATTTTGCACAATTGACTTAAAGGTTAAACAAAGTGATACATTATTTAACATGTTTAACATATTCTGCATTGAAATGCTACACAAACTCATTCCAAACGCTCCCACCTCTTTCTTACCCAGAATGAAAGCCCAGTTGTCCCCCTCCATTTGTTCTCTGGCGAACTATTTTCGCTCATTCTTTCTCGCCTTTATCTTGTTCTGAACACAAAACCTAACAACCAACCCGTCTCTTCCTCATACCGCCTGCAGATACACACTGCGCCTCAGATGAGGAACTTGATGCTTCCCCACCTCCGGCTACACACACAAGCACACACACACACCAGCACAGATCCTTGATCTGGGTCTGGCGTTCAAATTCAACACCAGCAACTTATTACTACGGTAATAGCAAAAATAGTTGAGTTAAAATGACACTGGTTTGATAATGCAAGACCTGCTGGTGGATTTTTACCATCTGAGGAGCTTAATATGCTTAATATAAGAAGAGCCCAAACACAGCAACATACGACTTAAGAAACAAAAGTGCATCAATATTCTTGTTGTTATCTTGTTATCAGCTTTATGATCTGTATAACAAACATAACATTGAGGCAATAATTAACCTCCAGTTTAGAGTCTATTGAGAAGGTGATGAAAAGTTTGAAATAATCATTAAAATAAATGTCACAATACAAACAATGTACTTTTTTCATATGTCTGTTCAAAATTAACACAAGTATACAAACATTTTATTTTTTAATTTTTGTAGCAAATCAATTTTGTTTCTGTCTTTGTCAGATGATCAGTAACTTTTATTATATTTCCTCTCTAGTTTAAACATTTTTTTTTTTTAAGTTTAGATCTAGCATTTGTTCACATTTATTAATATATATCAAAAGGGTTTTAGTTTTTGTTCAAAAGCTTCGACTTGTCAAGAGTTTTCAGCCAACTTTTCACACCTGTGAGTTATTTTTTTCTTGGACATTTTTCCTATCTGTTTGTAAATCAATTTTAACTTCCAAAACTAAGCTGACAGAATAACAGCTGACAGAATAACAACTGTCTTACAATCGCTCCAGTTTGTGTTACTCAGGGCAGGTCAGTGTCGGTACAGCTAATAACATAATGACCATTTTATTTTATATAATTTTATATAATTGATATGTTTTCTTCCTTGTGTTTTTTTTTGTTTGTTTGTTTTGGTCCTAATTTATCCCTCAATCTGAGATTGTCATTGACCCTGATTATTCTGAACATAAACACTGTTTATAATGCACTTTAAACACACAGGTTAAATAAATGACAAAAATATATGTGTGTGTGAGGTGTGAATAAAAAAAAGATGGAAAAATATTTAGCAACTAATTAGGTTAACTGGCAGCAGTTCAGTAATAAAAAAACATCAGG